TAGTCTGCAGTAGAGGTTTGTGCAGGAAGCACTGAGGAGAGGTTAGCCAGCCTGGGAGGAGGTGGGAAGGCTTCTCGGAGGAGGTGATGTCTAGCTGATTATGCAAAACTGAGTCCCTTAACCAGGTGGCCAAGGTGGAGCGAGAAGTACCAGCTTCAGGACCGGCTCACCCTCCCAGGCAGGATCTGCTTCACGTTGTTACCTCTTTTGGTCTAGAAATGTTGTGCTGGGAATAGGTGCCTGTCTGGGCTTCTGGGTTCTCATTTAAAAGCGTACGGATATCCTCATGTCCAGGGGCCTGCATCTTAAGTGTCTCATTCCATTGCAGTCATCAACTGTACAGATCCTGGGCACCAAGAAAACAGCGTTCGTCAAGTCCATGCCAGCAGCCCACACAGGCTCAGTTACGGCACCACTGTGTCTTACCAGTGCCGCCACGGTTTCTACCTCCTAGGCACCCCGGTGCTCAGCTGCCAGGGAGACGGCACATGGGACCGTCCCCGCCCCCAGTGTCTCTGTAAGTAGATGTCACCTATTTAAAATGATCACCTGTGCAGGCTGATGGGGTGGTTCACGTCAAAGAACTGTCCTGCCTCTTCTGTGGGGTGTGTGAGTGTGTGGTGTGTGTGTGTGCATGTGCGTGTGTGTGTGCATGTGCACATGTGCGTGCGTGTGTGTGTGTGTGTGTGTGTGTGTGTGTGTGTTACATCACAGTGACAGTAATTCTGGCTGCTCCTTGGATGTCAGAGCCCTTCGTGGGCCCCTGTTGGGTTAGTTGCCGTACCAGCTCTCACGCTTTCTTTCTTCCTGGCTGGAGGCCTGTCCCCTTTCCTCTCTAGGACTGCCACCAACTTCTTCAGCCTTCGGGGCTCCCTTCCATCAGAACTGGCTGCCTGGCAGGACACGGTCTCCCATTTTCACCCTTCTTTGCTTTTCCAGAAAGACAATGCACGAACCCCTTTCCTTTGAAGGACTGAAGCAGAAATGCCACAGACCCTTGAGGCAGGCAGACCTGGATTTGAATTCCGGCTTTGCCACTAAACAGGCTGTGTGATTTGAGAGAAAGAAGTCCATTAACTGTTCAGAGTCGCTGTTTCCTCATGTATAAAAAGGACACTAATACCTACTCACTGGGTTATTTGAGGATTAAATAAGGAAATCCATCAAAGTGCCCAGTATAGTATCTAGTACTCAATAAACAATAAATGCTTTAACTATTATTAGGGAAAAAATATGGGGACAACATATTTTTTTAAAAAAAAAGGATAGGGGAGCAGCTCAAAATCCTGCCATTTGGTTGCTAGCCTCGCACATCCTTATGGCAAAATCAGTCCCTTCATCTCCTGCTCTCTCCTCCTGTTCCTAAAGTTTAATCCTGTGGATTACTCTCGCCCCCATCTTCCTACTAGGAGAGGTGGAGATGTATCCCAGAGGGATTATGGGTATTGAGTTTTGGCCATTCAGCAATCCACTCATCTTTGGCAAATCATATACATTTTTGCAGTACCCCCACCCCCCACCCGCAGTGTGTATGACTCCATTTCCTTATGCCCTGTGCCTCTAGGTATGATAGGAGACTAATACAGCCACTCATGACCCAAATCTCCCTTGTTTGAGGACCCCAACCTGTCCATCCAGCCCATTTATGATTGATAAATTTGGGGGGTCTTGGAAATGGACAGCCACCCGTGTACAGTGCTACCAGGTGAGATTCAGAGAGCACGGTGGTTTCAAATTGTATCTTCTGGAAAATGAAGCTTTTTAATCATAATATAATTATCCTATCTGTATTAATTTTTTTTGCCCCAAAGCTTGTTTTATCTGATGTTAATATTGATATTGAAGTAATTAACATATAATTATATTAATATAATTTATAACCGGCTTCTTTTGGAAGATTTAATCTATGTGCATATTTCCTCTGTTTAATGAAATATGATTCACATGCCATAAAATTCACTCTTTTAAAGTCTATAATTCAGTGATTTTTATATATTCACAAAGTTGTGCAACCCTCACCACTCTCTAATTCTAGAGCATTGTCATCACCCCAAAAGGAAGTCCTTCAGCTGTCACTTTCCATTCCCTACCACCACTCTATCCCCTGGTAATCATTAAGCTACTTTCTGCCGATGAATTTGCCTATTCTGAACACTTTATATAAATGGAATTAAATATGTGGCCTTTTGTGACTGGTTTCTTTAACTTAGCATCAAGTTTTCAAAGCCCATCCACGTGATTGCATCTGTCAGTACTTCATCCCTTTCTATGGCCAGTTACTATCCCATTGTATGGTTAGACCACATTGTGTTATTTATTCCTCAGTTGATAGACATTTGAGTTGTTTCCACTTTTTTGGCTATTATGAATAATGCTACTATGAACATATGTTTTCCGTTCTCTTGGATATATACCTAGGGAGTGGAATTGCTGGGTCATATGGTAGCTTTATGTTTAACTTTTTGAGGTTAACTGTTTTCCAAAGTGGCTGCACTATTTTACATTCTTGCCAGCAGCATACGAGGGTTCCAGTTTTTTCACAGCCTCGCTCATTCTTGTTATTGTCCACCTTTTTTATTAGTCATTCTAGTGGGTGTGAAGTTGTATCTCGTTGTGGTTTTGATGTCTGTTTCCCTAATGTCTTATGATGTTGAGCATCTATTTATGTGCTTATTGGCCATTAGTATCTCTTCTGTAGAGAAATGTCTATTCAAGTTCTTTGCCCATTTTTTAATTGAGTTGTTTGTCTTTGTACTATTGAGTTTTAACAGTTCTTTATATATTCTGGATACTATGCTCAGTTCAAATACATGATTTGATCAAAACATTTTCTTCCATTCTGTGGATTATCTTTTCACTTTCTGGCTACTGTCCTTTGATAAGTGAAAGCTTTTAATTTTAATGAAGTCCACTTTATCTAGTTTTTCTTTTGTTGCTTGTGCTTTTGGTGAAATACTTAAGAAATCATTGCCGGGTCCAACATCACCTCATGATCCAAGATCATGTCATCTGTCAATAGGCATAATTTTACTTCTTCCTTTCCAACTTGGATGTCTTTTGCTTCTTTTTCTTATTTAATTTCTCAAGCTAGAACTTCCAGTACAATGTTGAATGAGAAGTACCAAGAACAGGCATTCTAGTCATGTTCCTGATCTTTGGGGAAAAGCTTTCAGTCTGTCACCATTAAGTGTGATGTTAGCTGTGAGGTTTTTTTTGTTTGGTTTTGGTTTTGGTTTTTGGTTTTGGTTTTGGTTTTTGTAGATCCCCTTTATTATACAGATTGAGGAAGTGCCCCTTTATTCCTAGCCTGTTGAAAGCTTTTATCATGAGAGGGTGTTGTATTTTCTTAAATGCTTTTTCTGAATTGGGATGATCATGTGGGTTTTTTCCCTCATGCTATTAACATGGTGTGTTACATCGATTGATTTTCATATGTTGAACATTCTTGTGTTCCTAGAACAAATCACACTTGGTCACGGTGTATAATCCTTTTAATATGCTCCTGGATTCGGTTTGCTCATATTTTGTTGAGGATTTTTACAATACGTTCATAAAGGATAATGGTCTGTGGTTTTCTTTCTTTGTGATGTCTTTGTCTGACTTTGGTATCAGGATAATGTTGGCCTTATAGAATGAGTTGGGAAGTGTCCTCTCTTCTAATTTTAGGAATAGTTTGAGAAAGATTGGTGTTTCTTCTTTAAAAATTTGGTAGAATTCAGCAGTGAAGTCATCTGGTCCTGGGTTTTTCTTTGATAAAAGTTTTTGGTTATTAATTGATTCTATTTACTTGTTATAATTCTTTTAGATACTTTATTTCTTCTTGAGTCAGGTTTGGTAGTTTGCGTGTTTCTAGGAATTTATCCATTACACCTAGGTTATCTAATTTATTGGTATACAATTGTTTATGTTCATAGTATTCTCCTATAATCCTTTGTATTTCTGCAAGGTTGGTTGATAGTAATATCCCCACTTTAATTCCTGGTTTAATAATTTGAACTCTCTCTCTCTCTCTCTCTCTCTCTCTCTCTCTCTCTCTCTCTCTCTCTAGCTACACATTTGTCAATTTTGTTGATCTTTAAAAAAAACTTTTGGTTTTCTTTATTTTCTCTGTTGTTTTTCTTTTTTCATTTGTCTCTTTATTTTTTCCTTTCTTCTGTTTGCTTTGGGTTTAGTTTGCTCTTCTTTTTCTAGTTTCTTAAGGGGAAAGCTTAGGTTGTTGGTTTGAGAAGTTTTTTTGTTGTTGTTGTTGTTGGTTTTTTATTGGGGAATTGGGGGGATGGGAACAGTGCTGGGGAATTGGGGGAAGGGGAACAGACAAGTTGCTGTCGTTNTTAGGAGAATGGTCCTCTCCTCTGGTTTACAGGGCCCAAAGGGACCTGACCTAGCCTCCTGTCCAGCCTCATTCTTCTTCATGTCTGCATTGGGTCCTGGCCACACGGAATCTCGTCAATTCCTCACCCCGCAGGATCCCACACAGGATCCTGAAATGCATTCTTCTCTGTCCCCCTCACCACCCCGTCTTTGGGTGACTTGTGCCCTGCCATCAAGAGCCAGCTTATATGTCACTTCTCCTGGGATGCCTTTCCTTGTCCACCCCCTGCACTAGGCTAGAGGCTCTGCTTTCAAGGGGCCAGGTGCTTCTAGAACATTCTCTGCTGCCCCTATCAGAGCACTTATCAAACAGGATAATTGCTTGTTTGTTCTTTTCTCTCTAGACCAGCAGTTCTCACCTGGGGACAATTTTACCCATTCCCCTGCTTCAGCAGGGGACAGTTGTCTGGAGACATTTTGGGTTGTCACAACTGGAGGTTTTCTATTGCCATCTGGTGGGTAGAGGCCAGGGCTGCTGTCCGACATCCTACAATACACAGGACTGTCCCCCACAATAAAGAATTATCAGCCCAAAATGTGCACAGTGCCAAGGTGGAGAAACCCTACTCTAGATGGTAAATTCTGTGGTCTCCTTACTGCTTAGCACACCATTTACCACAATAAATACTGTGAATGAATAAATGCCACTTGTTTTGTGACACCAATCTCTCTGAGCCTCACAGAGGCTCATCAAAGGTTAAAAGACCTCATACCTTAAAAGCTTATCAAAGATTTAAAATACCTGCCCATCCCACCTCATATGATTCATGTGAGATTCAGGCAAGATAATGGATGTGAAAATGTTTTGAAAGCAAAAGTACACAACGTGAGTTTTGAATGATATTGTCATTATGCTAAAATTGCACTCTGATTTTGAGTGAAGCTGCTTTGGAAACGCTTTAACATTTAAAAGTCAAATTTATCCCCCAGGATATTAATCTCTCCCTGAAATACTCATAAAAGTGATTAAAACGGTTTCCAAAGGAGCCCAACCCCTGGTCAAGTCAGCTCAGTGGTTTCACAATTGACGAGATTTGCTGCAGCAGACACTTGGTATCAGGGATGGAGCACAGATCAAGGCATTCATGCCCTCGAGGGACTCCGGTATTCAAATAAATCGCTGTCTAGGCTGATATAGTCTGCAGT